ATATTGCCACTCCTGCTCTTTTTTAAATGTTGTTTGCTTGATATATTTTTTTCCATCCTTTGAGTTTTAGTTTGTCTGTGTCTTTAAGGTGTGTCTCTTGTAAGCAGCTTATAGATGGATCATGTTTTTTAATCCATTCTGCCACTCTCTGTCTCTTTATTGGTGTATGTAGTCCATTTACATTCAGCGTAATTGTTTATAGGTATGAGTTTAGTGCTGTCATTTTGATGTCTTTTTTTGTGTGTTGTTGACAGTTTCTTTGTTCCACTTATTGTTCTGTGCTGAATTGTTTTTCTTTATGTATTTTCTTTTCATTGTTGTTGATTTTTTATTTGCTGAGTCTTTATATTTCTCCTGTTTTTTATTTTGATGTGTAGGGTTATTAGTTTCCTTTGTGTTTACCTTAATATTTACCCCTATTTTTCCAAGTTTAAACCAGTCTTTTATTTCTTTATATCACCTTGACTTCCTCTCCATATGAAAAATCTATGATGACATTCTTTAGTCCCTCTTTTTTGTTTTAATGTTGTCATCTTTTACATATTGACATCTCTGTTTCCCTGTTTTCAGAGTTTTAGCTTTTATTAAGTTTTGTGACTTCCCTCTCTGGGTTTTTACCTGGTTGTTCTGTCCTGTGTTCTAGTCTTGGGTTGTTAACTGTTATCGATTTTCCACCTGGAGGACTCTCTCTAGTATTTCTTGTAATTTTGGTTTGGTTTTTACAAATTCCCTGAACTTCTTTTTATCTGGTAATGCCCTAATTTCGCCATCATATTTGAGAGACAGTTTTGCTGGATATATAATTCTTGGCTAGCAGTTTTTTTCCTTCAAGCCTTTATGTATGTCATCCCATTGCCTTCTTGATTGCATGGTTTCTGCTGAGTAGTCTGAGCTTAGTCTTACTGACTGTCCTTTGTAGATGACTTTTTGTTTATCCTTAGCCACTCTTAAAATTCTCTGTCTTTGGTTTTGGCAAGTTTGATTATAATATGTCTTGCTGACTTTCCTTTGGGATCTACCTTATGTGGGGTTTGATGAGCATCTTGGAAGATATCTTCTCATCTTTCATGGTATCAGGGAAGCTTTCTGCCAATAAATCTTCAACAACTCTTTCTGTATTTTCCTTTATCCCTCCCGTTCTGGTACTCCAGTCACTCATAGGTTATTCCTCTTGATAAAGTCCCATATAATTCTGAGAGGTTCTTCATTTTTTAAAGTTCTTTTATCTGATTTTTCCTCAAATAAGTTGATGTCAAGTGCTTTATCTTCAGATTCACTAATTCTGACTTCCGTTGCCTCAATTCTGCTCCTATAACTTTCTACTGAGTTGTCTAATTCTGAAATTTTGTTGTTAATCTTCTGGATTTCTGATTGCTGTCTGTGGATTCTTGCAGCCTATTAAATTTGTCATTATGCTCTTGAATAACCTTCTTAAGATCCTCTGTTACTTTCTGTGTTCTTTAGCTTGTTCTGCGTTTTGCCTGATCCTCTTGAAGAATTCTATATGTTAATGTTTTGTATTCTACCTCTGATAATTCCAAGAAGTTCTCTTCCTCTGGAAATTTCTAGATTCTTTATTTTGGCAGTTTGCTGAAGCCATCATGGTCTGCCTCTTTATGTGATTTGATATTGACTGTTGTCTCCAAGCCATCAGTACGTCATTGTATTTATTTTGTTTGCTTACTGTGTGCTAGCTGTTTTGTTTTGTTCTGCTATGCCCAAATAGGCTGGTTGTGTGAGCTAGTTTGATTATTGGTGCTTTTGAAGCTCTAACATCTTGTCACCAGGTGGTTATTTCTGTTATTAGGTATGTGAACCCAGGAGTCAGTTTACTGTTCTTATATGGATTCAACTCAAGTGTCCAGGTAGTGGGTCACCAAGTGTGTGGTGCAGACTCTCACCTGCAGTCCTAGACAGGTAGGGGTGATTGGTGTAGGCACAGGTATCTGGCTGCAGTAGGGGGTCACACACTGAGCAAGGCAGGGGGCTGATGGCTGCCCCTGAGTGTCTGGGAGGAAAGCATATCCCTGTTCCGTAGAGCACATAAGCAGGTAGGTTTTACAGCCAGACTGTGGGCACCCAGTGCTGTTGGCTGTAAGGACTGAGAGGCACCACTTATTCTTGCCTTCCTGTCGCAGGTGGCTAGGTGGTGTGGAGGTACCAGTCCTCAGGCCCCTGATGTGGGTAGGTGAGGACCCTGCTTAATGGGCAGAACAGTGTCAGATGTCATGAACCTGCCACTCCATCATATAGCTGATACAGTTGAAGTTAGGCTTCAGGTATATACCCCCTTGTACTTTGCTAATGAGAGCCTATGCTGTTAAAATGGGCCCACACAGGTCTGTGCAGAGATAAAAGGCATTCAGAGTCTGTGGACCCTTTATTCCTCTGCCTACACAAAGGAGGTATGCATACCCTGAGTTCTTGGCTTAGGGAAGCTGGCAGATTATTTTTTCCTGTTTGTTAATTTGTTCCCTCTCGAAGTCTGGGAGAATGGCTCAGGGCACTTGACGGGTCCTACCTTCTGGCCTGAGGACACGGCAGTTACTGAGGCTGGCCTGGGACTCTGCATAGCAGGGAGGGGGCAGATAAATGGGAGAGAGATTTTTTCAAAAGGGGGTGTTTTTTGATCCATGCATTAGGTCAGACACATGTGCTTATCTTTTGCCGATTGAGCAGTGCTTTTCACTGATTCTGGAGGCCCGACTAGACTGTCTGCCTCTCGGTCTCTCCCCATGTGGAAAACGCCTACGAAGTGTCACTGCTTTGCACACCACGCACACCAGACGATCCGGCCTGAAGGATGCTGGCTCCCACTGGGTCAGGTCTGGCAACTCCTTGCTGCTTCTGAACTGTCTGTCCCTCCCCTTGCCACTCAGTCCGATTCCTCAACTTCTGCCTTTGATGTTCCAGGCTCCTAGATTGTCATACATAATCGATTCACTTGTTTTTTCAGGTCTTTGTTTAAGAGGGACTACTGGAAGCCTCTGACTACTCAGCCATCTTGGCCTCACTTCTTTTTGTTGTTGTTGAGATTTTTCCAGAGGGAAATTCTTCCATCTCATTCTTGGTGGTTTTTGTAGCTAAACTGGAGAATGGTGACTGGGTAGGGGATGGCAGTGGTGGATTTTATGGTTCAGTATGTAAACTTTCACTTAATCTGCTTGCTCTTTGGTATTGAGCCTTACACTTGCCCTCGTCATGCCTAAGGCTCCAGAGTCCACAGGCTGTATGGATCAACCTTTCCAGATTAACCCTTCAGTCTTTTACCATTTGGTGGGAAAAGTAGTTGCGTAGCTACCCTGGATGAGGGAAAGGGCTAATTATCCACATAAAGATTTTCACCCTGTCTTCCTATTTTCAGAAGTGCCCCTCTCCACCCTTCCAAGAGAGTACCTGTTGATTTCAACACTTAGGACGGGGAGAGGGAGTTACCTGCTTCTTGTTGTCTTCACCCCCAACCCCGATACATTTTACATTTCAGCTTTCTTTCGTCTGCTGATCTGAAAATTTGATTGATAATTTCCAACTACTCATTCTCTTTACCTCAGAGGATTTATGCCATGGTGCGGGGGGAGGGGGATTCCTTTGCTTTGTTTTAATGAGATTTCAGGAGGAAAAACAAATAAGCGTTTATACTGCTTTATTTAACCAAAGGTTGTCTCTCTGCTCAAATTTCTGTTGGAGAATCTGGCCCAGATAATACTCTAAGTGCTGAACTATTTCATAGGTCACTGCTCACCTGTGGTTTGATTGTTTGAGGGTCAATTGCCCATCTATGATACAGTTTCCTGTGGGATGGAATGTCACATGATGTCTAATATGGCTGAGCAGGGTCCAGGAACAGGCAGACACAGTAATTAACATATTTTATTATTACAAAGCCTTGAATTTAAAAAATCTTTCAGTTGGTTTACATTCTGTGTTAGACGGTGCTTGTGCCACATGTACTGTTATATCATAGTTCTGTAAATAACCAGAGAAAGGAAGGTGAGTGAAATAAACTCTGAGTGTCAAGTGTATGTAGTCTTAGGAGCCATATGAATGAGACTGAAGTAGAAAAATTGAATATTCTGGAGTCAAAAAAGTATAGCCACTTATAAAATAAGTTGTTAAGTGCAGTTTACAGTGTTAGGGCTGTAGAAGAGCAATAAATAAGTTTTTTTTTTTCCTTTTCTATTTTGGAACTAATTGAGCAACAAGCATAGACATATAAAATTCCAGATTCATTAGTAATAAAAGTAGTGTTAAAAGGACTTTCTAATATTTAACCCCTAAATTAAGCACAGTTACCCACTATTGGCTAGTCATTGACAGAGCAGATCTCATCCTACAGCAGCAGAGTCTGCCCCTGTGCTTACCACGTAGTGGACAGACAAAATACAGCCCCTCCAAAGGAAGGAAGATCCAAGAGAAAATGTGCACCCTGAAGCTATTGAATCAATTAGGTCCTCCTCTCAAGTTCACCAGTCAGTTGAAGTCACTTCTTTGACTGAGGAGAGAATGAAGGGATGAGGAGAAGCTTAAGGTGTTCTTCCTATACTTTTCCGTTCTGGCGAGTAGAGTGGAAATGTGGAGAGTAAATGTTTTCCCTTAAACATACATTATGTAACAGACATAACATGAAAGACTCAGCAACCAGTCCATGCATATGTGCAGCATTGGATTGCTTGCCACTCATTTTGCACCACGCTTGGTAAACCCCTTTTAATCTGAAAGCTTCTTTTATTATTTCTTCTGCTGGATTCTGTGTTTTTTCCTTCTATTAGATGTCTGTGCCTATTAGATAATCGTATATGAAATGTGGCCAAGTAAATGGCACTCTAGGGACCTTAAGGGACTTTGAAGAGTACTTTTAACTAGAAGTAATATTTGCTTTACTAATTTTAGACAGACTTTGTGTTCTCTAAGCAGATGGCATAGTGGTGAAGAGCTACAGCTGCTGACCAAAAGGTCAACAGTTCGAAACCACCAGGTGCTCCTTGGAAACCCTATGGGGCAGTTCTACTCTGTCCTGTAGGGTCGCTGTGAGTCGGAATCAACTCACCAGCAGCTGGTTTGGCTTTTGTTTTTTTTTTAACCTGTCAGTTTGTGAATGCAGTATATTATATGCAAATTGCAGGTTACACCTACTTTCTACGTACATGGAAGCTGGTGCATCTGTGCAGTGGTGGCCACCTGAAGGCTAGTACAGGGAACTTTCTGATCTACTTTCCTTCCCTTTTTTTTCTTTCTTATAGTGATCACACACACTCTTAAGTTCCCTCGTTTTTTCTCTTTTATTGCTCAGTTAACCTCACCACAGGAAATCGTCTACACATACACACAGACATAGGTCCTTAATTAACTGGTTCATTTCTTAATTCTGTTGATCAACTACGTCAATAAATTGTCAATCCTACTACCTGCCTCCTCCCCTTTTTTTGGGAGAGGAGGATGTTTTATTTGTTTGGTGTACTGCCTGTGAAATAACCCACTCTGTGTAAGATTTTTTTTTTAATATAAGAAAACTTTGTGGGTTTCAAAAATGAAGTGCCAGTAAACTTACAGAAAGCATTCTGTTTGTAACTTAAGAGAATCTCTTCCTGTATGTATATATTTTTTAAATGCTGTTTTTATTCAGTAGCTTTTAGTACCCACTCTCTTTTCCTTAAGTGCTGTGCAGAGGGTATACAAGTATGACTAAAGTAATCATTGCTTTTAAGGGGTTTGTCTTTTTGCCTGGTAGAAAAGACGATCAATATAATATGAGGTAAAAAGAGGTACAGATAAAACACTAGGGGTTTGAAGGAAATCTGTAATGATTTAATGGTCATTAAATCTATAATGATACTCTTTGTATAGTTCTTGAATGAAAAGAGAAACGGTAATATTAGAATACTTAATAGTGCTAGTGCAAGTCTTTGCCCTGGTTCTGATTTAACACATTGTCACATCTCCTATAAATTCTCACTGTTAATTTTTCTAAACTATTTCCCAGCTTTTCTTGCCCCTTCCCCTTCCTCACAAGCTGGGGTGCTGGCTTTTGTAAGAATAGAATAAGAAGATAGAGCAGATAGGAGATGGAGGAACGAGAGGTGAGTAAGAGTATGTAGGTGTGTGAAAGATGGTCATGTAAAACTTATACCTTGCCCTTGAACTTTTGAAAACTTATTAACATAGAAATTCAGTATATTGGGCTAACTCAATACTATTAAAGTCTCTCTTTCTGTAAAAAATCTTTTAGCTGTATGAGCTACCTGGTTTTATTGACTATTTGTTGTTAGTCCGTGACTAAAGGCAGATCATTGCACTGTCATTTATGTGCTTTTACAAATACAACACCTCTGTAGAAGGAAGAGTAAATTTTAGAAATCAGTATAGTTTTGTGATCTGCATCATTTCTTATTGAGTTTGATACAGGTTTGATTGACTTTTTAAAAAATTAATTGTGAATTATTGATAATCATGTAATGAATGAAAACAATACATAAGAATAAGGAAGAAATTTATTTTCAGTAATATTTTAAATGAATCAGCTTTTTAAAATTTGTGTGATTAGTTCACCTATAGCTATAACTTCTTTGATTAACTTTATTGTGTAGTATGTGATACAAGTTAAAGTACAATTTAAAAAATTTAAACTTTCAAATGTAAAATTCATTGGGAGATAAAATGCTACCTACCACACAGGGTGGTTGTGAAAATTAGGATGTATAAAGCACTTTGAACAGTGCCTGGTCCATAGTAAGTGACCAGTGCCTGGCCCATAAATGCTATATAAGTGTATAAGTGTTAACTAATGTATTATTTTTGTTTTTGTTATTCTTATATAGTGGTATAATTATTTTAATCAATCAGAGTTCAGATTTTTGAGAGAGAGTCATTTGCTTTATAATCAGTTATTTTTGCCTTTAAATATTTTAAGTCCATCATTATGTCTGTAGTGGGGGACTGATTTTACTAAAATTGTAGAGGTATACACAGCTTATTACTGTATTATGAGCTACCTTTAAGAATGTTGTGCTGAATCTGAAAATACTAGGACATTTTAAAGGCATGACTGTAGAATATTCATTTACACTTTGATAGACGGGCAACCTTTAAATAACCATCCTGTCAGTAACTGTAATCTCTTTGATTGCCTGGCACTAGATTTCATCATGTGATTTCAGCACATAAATTGCAGTGTTCTAGGTTTTTCCCCTTTTTTACATATATTTTTAAGAATTAATTATTAAAGAAACATAGTCACCCAGTCCTGAAGTGGAGAACTATTACCAGTTTCTTGTGTATTCTTCCAAAGTATGTTGTGCATTTACATGTATATGTATATAATCTTTTGCCCTTTTAAAAAACAAATCTTACTGCACTGTATACACTGTTCTGCACTTTAGCTTTTTGCAGTTAATGTTCTCTGGGATAGATTTCAGTACATATCAGTATGCATAAGTTGATGTCATTCTTTTTCAGGGCTTCAGTGTATTCCATTTATGTATAAACCTCATTTATTTAACTAATTCCCCATACATTGCTTATTTATTATTTTTTGCTTCTTTAAACAATGTCACAAAAGTTATCCTTGTGTGTATCTTTGTCTCTGTGTGAGTGTATAGAATAAATTCCTAGAGTTAGAATTGCCAAATCAAAAAGCATATATATATTTTTTAATTTTATTTATTTTGCTGTTGTTGAGACTATACGTAGCAAAACATACACCAATTCAACAGTATTTACATGTACCATTTAGTAACATGAATTACATTCTTCCAATTGTACAACTATTCTCACCTTCCTTTTCTGAGTTGTTCCTTCCCTGTTAACATAAACTCGCTGTCCCCTAAGGGCAACTGTAATCTTTCGAGTTGCTGTTGTCAGTTTGATCCCATATAGATGGTTCAAAAGCGTGTATTTTTAATTAAACTAAATACCAGTTTATAACCTCCTCCTAGTGTTTGAGAGGACTTCCTTCCCCTTTTTGTTCTAAAATAGTATATTATCAGATTTTGACCTTTGTTGATCTGATGAGTGAAACAGATCTCATTATTACATTTGCATTTATTTAATTATGAATGAGCTTAAGCATTTGATTAATGTTTAAAAGTCATTGGTATTTCTTCTCCACTAAGATATCTGTTCACATCCTTAGCTAATTTTTCAGTTGAGTTATTGGTTTTTTCCTTAGTAATTTGTAAGAGATATTTAAGAAAATCAGTCTTTTATTTACGAATTATTTTTTTCCTCAATTTCTTGTCTTCTGACTTTATTAAATTTTCCTTATAGAATTTATTAATTTTTATATAGTCAAATTAATCCATTTTTGATCAGGTTTATGCCTTCTGAGTTTGTATGTACCCATACAAAATGTTTTCCCCTGTAGTTTTCTTCTAGTAGTTTTATATTTTTACTATGAAGTTTTGTTGAGTATGTCATTTATTGGCGTTAGGAGTGAGTAGGAATCCAGTTGTATTTGGATGTCTAGTCTCATGCCAGCAAACCCCCTGCCATTTTTTTCTCTTTTTTTAATAATCTGATTTAAAATGCCATTTCCGTCATCTACTATGTACTTGAATTAATTTCCGAATTCTTGATTTTGTTCCATATATTCTCATTGTGGTACCAAACCGTGTTGGTATATATCATCTTTTTAATAATTGCTACTTTATATTTTACATTTTATCATATATTTATACTTTATTTTTAAAATAAAATTAATTTTAATTATTCTTTTTGCGTTCTATTAAACTTTATGTATGAATCAGAGTTTTATTATATCTTCCACTGTGGAATTAACTCTGAAACCAGTCTTTCGATGTTTGATTATGAGCTCCTCTTTGGTCATTTAGAAGTATTCTATGGTTAAATATGATAAACATTGTATAACTGTATAATTTTTCCTCAGTTTGAAGAAATTTTTTTTTTCTTTTCTAGCCTTTAATCTAGACAACGAGCAACCAGATTATGATATGGATTCAGAAGATGAGACCTTATTAAACAGACTTAACAGAAAGATGGAAATAAAGCCTTTGCAATTTGAAATTATGATTGACAGACTTGAAAAAGCCAGTTCTAATCAGGTACTGTACCACATAAAATGCCTCTTGCCTTACAGTTAATCCAATTAACAGCTTTATTTATTTATTTCATTTTCTTTAGACCTGAGTACATTGTACTTAACTGTCTCTTGAATTTCTTTTCTGGCTACCCTACAATTTCTGTTTACAACATCCCTTAAACTGTATACTTAAAGCATAGTTTCTTTGAATTGGAGTATGAAGAGTAGTACTGTTCTGACTTTTTCTCCTTTGGATATATAAGTAATACTAGGTACAATGTTAAGATGTCTCCTTGGTTCTTTTCATAGGACTGTCTTTTCGGTGCTTCAGTAATTAAATTTGTTTGGTTGGGTCCCCGCAGCAGTCATATCAAATCAGATATACTCAGTTGCTCAGGTTTATATTAAAGTACTCTTATTATCACTTTCAATGGATTCTAATTTTAATTATTGGTACAGAATTTATATTTTCAAGTGAAGAAGAAAATGCACACGCTAATGAAGAATTTTCTTTAGTGGGATGTTCTCATACACGGTATTGGAAATTTAAAATGGTACAACCTTTATGGAAAACAGTTAGGCAGTATATGACAGGAGCCTTAAAATGTTTATACCCTTTGATTTAGTAATCTCACCTCTAGGAATTGTTCTTAAGAAAAAAGTATAGTGACGGTGTCAAAGATCTTCGAACAGGGTTGTTCAGAATAAATGACAAGTTATCTGTAGGGTGGAATATCATATAGCCATTAAAAATGTTTATTTTGCAGAATATCTAGTGCTATGGGAAATTGCTTGTTATATAATGTTAGATTTCAAAAACAGAGAACAGAATTATTTATGTAGAAACATGAGGTTTATTTAAAGCATTTATATTTATACAGGTGCATAGGAAAAAAGACAAAGAAAGTACAACAGAATGCCAACAATGGTTCTAGATGGGTACTGGGAATATTCGTGATTTTTGTTTTTTTTCTTTTTTCTTTGTTTTCCAGATTTATTATTATAATGATCATGTGTTGATATTTTGATCAGATTAAAAACTAAACTGTTTAAAAAATCATTGTTGCCATAACTGTGTAGTATATTAATATGCTGATTATTATTCATGTACTAAGAAGTTACAGATATAATAGACTTGCAAATAATCTTTTTACACTAGACTGTTCAAACTTCCTGCTTTACCCATACGAATCTGTTACTTTCCCTCATCCACCAATTTAAGTCCTTTAAATCGCTGGTGCATTACTAGCTCTTTGGAAAATGTCCCAGACTTTTCCATTGTAAAATGACTTTGCTGCATATTTAGCTTTTCTACCAGTTTTCCCTCCCTACCCCCCCTTTTGATGGAAGATAATATCCAATGTACTATCGAAAGAAATACATTGAAAACTGAATTTTGTAAATACAACCTATTGGTTTTTTGATTGTTTGTTTGTTTTACTTGTTTTGTTTGTTTTACTTGTTTTTATTTATTGGAAATTTGCTTTAATTCTCAGATTTGATATTCATTGTAATGAGTGCTTGTTGTTTTCCTAGAGTTTCGGTCACTGCCTTCAAATAGAGTTTAAGGTTTTCTTTTTCAGATGCAAATTTTCCTGATAATCCTACGTTGGATCCAGCCAGAGAATATTGTTCTGTAGGAATATTATTCTGATCACTACTTTCAGCCTAGAGAGTAATTCCTTCCTTCTTCGTTTGCCTCTTGTCTCCTATTCCAAAAGAAAATTTAGTAGATTTAAGTACTAGATTAAGTATTTAAGTATTAAAGCAGATGAAAAACTGATGCTAATTAATATCAATCACAAAATCATTTTAAACATGTTAAATAAAATGTGACTGTGTCACAAAACCCGTTTAGTGAAAAATAAAGTGCAGTTTCTTAACCTGTTGCTGTCGAGTTGATTCCAACTCATAGTGACCCTATAGGGCAGAATAGAACTGCCCCATAGAGTTTCTAAGGAGCGGCTAGTGGGTTTGAATTGCTGACCTTTCATTTAGCAGCCGAACTCTTGACCACTTCGCCACTAGTTTCCTGTTCTCTTCTGATCCCAGTTACCTTCCTGAAAACACTAGTTTGTTTTTATTTCTAATTGAATAATGATGCTTAGAATTTAATATAGAACTTCTGATACAATGTGATATATACAGAGTACAGTGGAAGTGTTATTCCCAGATTTTGTATACTGTGCTTACTTTGTAGAGTCTACTTATGGTAAACTCTATTTCTGTAATTTCTTTTTTAGGCTGAATATAGTGAATAAACTTTTTGTTTTCATAAAATTCCACTTTGTTGATTTTGAACTAGTATCAAACTATTGAGATGGCTTTGATTCTTGAATTTTGTCATCTTTGATTCTCTGCCTATTCTGATTTTATCATCATTTCATAAGTATGCCTTCTGTGTCTTTTTGGAAGTCATTGGTAATGTCAAAGAAGCAAGGCTCCAAGTCAGAGTCTTAAGACCTTCTTCTAGAGACCTCCTTCCTGGTGGACAGAGAATTGTTAATCAGCAGTTTTGGATATGTTTTCAAATTCTTTCAGCAATAGTGTTTAACCCACATGTCATTCAGCCATAAGGATACATACACTTCGATAAGAAATCTAGCTGCATTAGTTTACAGAATTTGCTTGTTACCCCTATTTAATAACTCCCTTAGTAAGTGATACCTTGTTTCTTTTGAATTGGTAATGATAGAGCCATGCGAACCTTTGATGATTTCTTCCTTCTAAACATGTTGGGTCTATTTAATGTTCTATTTTAATAATATTAAGAGGAGATGACCTTAACTTAGTAAGTCTTCACTTTGTAGGATCTACCTTTTTTCTTCTCCCTCTTCCCGCTTCATTGTATTTATGTATGTTTGTTGAGGGGAAATTGGGATATTTATTTGGCTATTTTCAGCCTTCTAGTATTTTACTATTTTGCATGATGGCTCAGAAATTACTCATGATGACTGAGATTACATCATCAAAAGCCTTCAGCTCTATTTTCTGCAATTTACTTCCTTTCATTCCGTCGGTATTATCTGTTTAGTGTCCAAGTGAACAACACAGGTGACAAAAGGTCATGCCCTTGTGGAGCGTATTACCTAAGTGGGGGCAAGATAAACATGTAGTTGTTGTTAGGTGGGAGCCCTGGTGGCACAGTGGTTAAGAACTATGGCTGCTAACCAGAAGGTCGGCAGTTCAAATCCACCAGTTGCTCCTTGGAAACCCTATGAGACAGTTCTCCTCTGTCCTATAGGGTCACTATGAATTGGATTCAACTCGATGGCAATGGATTTGGTTTGGGTTTTGGGTTGTTAGGTGCCTTCGAGTCTGTTCCAACTTACAGCAACCCTACATACAACAGAATAAAACAGTGCCTGGTCCTGCGCCATTCTCACAATCGTTATGTTTGAGCCCATTGTTGCAGCATGGTGTCAGTCCATCTCTTGAGGGTCTTCCTCTTTTTTGCTGACTCTCTACTTTACCTTGCATGATATTCTTCTCCAGGTAATGGTCCCTCCTGATAACATGTCCAAAGTACTAAGTCTTGCCATCCTCACTTCTAAGTAGCATTCTGGCATTCTGGCTGTGCTTCTTCCAAGATAGATTTGTTCGTTCTTCTGGCAGTCTGTGGTATAGGCAGTATTCTTCAACAGCACCATAATTCAAAGGCATCAGTTCTTCAGTCTTCTTATTCATTGCCAGTTTTCGCTTGCATATGAGGTGATTGAAAATACCATGGCTTGGGTCAGGTGCACCTTAGACCTCAAAGTGACATCTTTGCTTTTTTAACACTTTAAAAGAGGTCTTTTGCAGCAGATTTGCCCAATGCAATATGTCATCTGATTTCTTGACTGCTGATGGTCATTGATTATGGAGCTATGTAAAATGAAATCCTTGACAACTTTAATATTTTCTCCATTTATAATGATGTTGTTTATTGGTCCAATTGTGAGAACTTTTGTTTGTTTTTTTTTAAATTACCTTCAGCAAAATTTTACTTGTGTGTGATATTAATGATATTATTCAATAATTTCCTCATTCTGTTGGTCACCTTTCTTTGGAATGGGCACAAATACGGATTTCTTCCAGTCAGTTGGCCAGGTAGCTGTCTTCCAGATTTCTTGGCATAAATGAGTGAGCACTCCTAGCATTGCATCCATTTGTTGAAACATCTCAGTTGGTATTCTGTCAGTTCCTTAAGCCTCGTTTTTTGCCAGTGCCTTCAGTGCAGCTTGGACTTCATCCTTCATTACCATCATTTCTTGATCGTATGCTACCTCCTGAAATGGTTGAACATCAACCAGTTCTTTTTTATACAAGGACTCTGTATTCCCTTCATCTTCTTTTGATTCTTCCTGCATCATTCAATATGTTGACCATAGAGTCCTTCAGTATTGCAAATTGAGGCTTGAATTTTCTCTTCAATTCTTTCAGCTTGAGAAATGCCAAGCGTGTTCTTCCCTTCTGGCTTTCTAACTCCAGGTCTTTGCACATTTCTTATAATACTTTGTCTTCTTGAGCCTCCCTTTGAAATCGTCTGTTCAGCTTTTACCTCATCATTTTTTCAATTTGTTTTCGCTACTCTGTGTTCAAGAGCAACATAAAATACAGACAATACAGTTAACATTCTACATATAATCAGCACTGTCTTAGTTATCTAGTGCTGCTATAACAGAAATACCACAAGTGGATGGCTTTAACAAACAGAAATTTTATTCTCTCACAGTCTAGGAGGCTGGAAGTTTAAATTCAGGGTGCCAGCTCCAGGGGAAGGTTTTCTCTGTTCTGGGGGAATGTCTTTGTCATCAATCTTCCCCTGGTCTAGGCGCTTCTCAGCACAGGGACCCCTGATCCAAAGGATGTGCTGTCCTCCTGGAGCTTCTTTCTAGGTGGTATGAGGTCCCCCATCTCTCTGCTCTGCGTTCTCTCTTTTATATCTCAAAAGACACTGACTCAAGATAGAACCTAATAGATTGAGTTCTGCCTCATTAACATAATTGCCTATAATCCTGCTTCATTAACATCATAGAG